TACCTGCGTGGGTACAATCTGTACATAATGTATAATATATAATATATATTACACATCAATATTCTATATAATTATGTATCAATATTATATGAAGTTATATAGTAAATGCTAATATATATATATATATTTACTATTGGAGACGATGCTTGGGTATTCAAAAGAATTCCCTTCTAGGAAATACTACAAATTGAGAGCTAAGGTTTAAAAAAAAAAACAAAAACCCAGCACCTCGATTATATGTTACAAGTTGAGAATTGAGGTTAAAAAACCCCAGCACCTCGATTATGTGTTACAAGTGTCTAAACCCTTGGACGCTGTTCCCTCACCGATCACTTATAGCTTTGAGCTGAGAAAGGGCAGTGCCTTTGAGGCCACTTCTCTGAGCTGCCCAGGCCTTTTTCTTGTTGAACAGGAGCAAGGTGGAAGGGATAATGAGACAGAAGCAAAGACTTAAGACAACTAATGTTTCCCCCTTCTTGTCCCCAATTTCGGACAAACATGGGGCCCAGAATGAGTGAGGGAATTAAATTAACGAAGACAATTTCTCCCTGTCATTGAACTCTGACTAATGAGTCTATTTCTGGGTAATAAGAAGGAGCAGGAAGTGACAAGGCAGTGTAATGAATTAGTGGCCCAGAACCTCGTTAGTCAGAATAATCTTTCCACGAAAGATAAATGATGCAAACATTAATTATAAAGCCAGGATGGAAATGCATCCCATTATTTGGCTTCCTAAGAAATATCTCCCAGTTATCACAGGCATTTCAACCAACAACAATAACAATAAAGTAAAGGTTCACTGAGAACTCTCATCCTGGGGAGACCGGCTGGCGGTGGGAGCCTGGGGACCGGCCCTGCTCTCTAAAGCGGCCCCTTCTCAAATCTCCTGCAACCTCAGGGTCTCGTCCCAGCCCCGCCTCTCTGTGACCTGCAGCCTCTCTGTCTCTCTGGCTTGGCCATTCAGAGCCATCCACTCGGGACCATTAGAGCCAGATGAGGCCAGGAGTTCAACGGGACTGTTCTCCCAAGTCAGAGAGAGAGAGAGCAAGGTCAGGGTTTTCCCAGTGACTCCAGCATCCTAAACGAGAGCTAGAGATCAAAACTCTGCAGGAACCAGAGAGACGGGTCAGCTAAGTTTCAGTCCTGGCTCTGTGTGAAAACTTACTTAGCATGTCGTTCTGCTTATTTGTTTGTCTGATCAGAGAACTGCTGAGAGTGAGGTCTCTGGTTAAGAGGGCTCTTGGTGAGGGTTAAGTCAGGTTGGCACCTATTAAGTGCTGGGTGAATGCCGTCAGCACATGTCATGATGTAGTGTCAAGGCTGCGGAGCTGGCAAGGGTATGGGGCGTTGGGGGCAGTTCTCTTGGAGCAGGGATGAGGCAGAGAGGGGCACCTGCCTGCCAGTGTCCCCAGGGGCCGAGTGCCAGGCCCCTGAAGAGCTGTCATCTCAGGCTGATTATCAACTGGAGTTTGGGGAGGTGCCCAGGAGGGAAGGGAGGAGAGGGAGGAGGCCTTCGCTCAGAACCAGAGCAGAGACTGAGTCAGTAATAAATGTGCTTTGCTGCGGCCATTACTCCCAAGAGTAAATAAGCCAGAATTAAAAACTATAAAAAAAGTCCTCGGCAGCGTCCGGTAATAAACTTGCCCATGACTTCACGGCTTAGAGGTTCTTGAGCTTCTAAGGATGTTTGCTCCCTCCTGCCCACGGAGGGGCTGGGAATCCTTTGCTGCAGACCCGGGAGTCTGCAGCCCAGAGGCAGGAAGTTTCCGAGTCTCCTTCCAGGTGGCACCGTCGAAGCAAAGGCTGCAGGCGCCTTTGTTTCTTAGGCTTGGCTGTTATCTGACTGGCAACTCTTGGTAATGAGAGAAGAAAAAACCAATTAATTGGGAATGAGTTTTAATTGTCTCCGACTTCTCATTTGTAGGCTATTAAAACAAGTCACTATTAAGCGATCACATTGGGTTGCATCATCCGAGAAGATGGATGCCCCCCAAAAGTGTCCTCTCCTCTTCCAGCTTCCCCTTTGGGCAAAAACTGGGCTCTTGGGCTTTATGTAAAGTTAACCCATGGGGGGAAAATACAGAAAAAAAAATTTTGCTGCCCAAATCTAATTTTTTCCTTTCTTTTTTCCACTAAAGAACAATTGCCTGCACTTGTCTCTGATTCTGTGGCTGTTCTCCTCTTGTGCATTCTGGGAGCTGTAGGAGGGTTGCCAGGGAGGCAGGGCTTGCTTTGGGCAGCTTCTTTGTCCTCTCATCACTGGCTCCGTGGTCGTGGGGGTGTGAAAGGCTGTACAAGGTCTGCCGTCTGGGCTGAAGGAGGGGACCCAGCTTGGGAAAGGACTGCCAGGGCCACTCCCCCCTCCTCCTCCCTTCCACCCACCTCTTACTGCTCCAAAATGAGCTTTTGTTTTTTTAAGCTTTGTGTGTGCCTGCGTGCGTGCTAAGTTGCTTCAGTTGTGTCTGACGCTTTGCAACCTCATGAACTGTAGCCCACCAGGCGCTTCCGTTCATGGGATTCTTCAGGCCAGAATACTGGAGTGGGTAGCCATGCCTTTCTCCAGGGGATCTTCCTGACCCAGGGATGGAACCCGCATCTCTTAGTTTTCCTGCATTGGCAGGCAGGTTCTTTACCACTAGCGCCACCTGGGAAGCCTTTTTTGAGGTGTGATTGGCAGATAAAATTTATATATATGGAAGGTATATGGCCTGATGCTTTGATGTATGAATACATTGTGGAAGGATGCTCACAATCAAGCTAAGGCATCCATCACCTCACACAGTGACCATGTTGTGTGTGATGAGGACCCTTAGGATCTGCTCTTAGCAAATTCCAAGTGCGGGATAGGATACCATCAACTGCAGTCACCTTGCTGCACGCCAGGTCTCTGGAACTCACTCATCTTGATAACCAAAACTGCACACTTTGGCCAGCATCTCCCCACATCCGCCTCCCGGTGACTTCCACTCTTTTGGATTGCACAGTATTTGTCTCTCTGCATCCGGATTATTTCACTTAGGATAGTATTCATGGCAGAATTATTCACAGTAGCCAAGATGTGGAAACAAGCTAAATGTCCATGGGGGATTAATTGGCAAAGGAAACACGGCATATCCATACCATGGAATATTACTCAGCCTTAAGGAAGAAGGGAATCCTGCCATTTGGATCCTTGTGGAGGGGCCTGCAGGGTCAGTGAGGTCTCCTGCTGGGAGCTGGGGAGCATAGCAATGTGGGTACCTGAGCTGCTACGGACGTGGCAGGTCACTAGATGTTTCTGAACCTGCCCGGGCAATGCAAGGAGCAGAGATCACAGCCCCTTCCCGAGGGCTTGTGTCGATGCCATAGGTCAGATGTAGGTTGTGTCGGTGTCCGGCTAGATGCTAACCCCGAGGGCCCAGGGGTCCCCATAGTGCTGGAACCCTGGCCCCTCCCCTTTCAGCTCGCCCTCATCGGCCCCCTTCCCATCCCTCTCTGATCTTTCTCTCTGCTCAGCTTTCTGAACGCCCATCACCTGTATCTCACCCACCGTGTCCCCCTGCTCTCTCCACACAAAAGGGCCAGGGCCTCCACAGAAGGCTCTGCTCAAGGCTCTGCTGGGTAGGGCTTGGCTCCCTGCCTCTCCAGGTGAGCTCTGCCCTCAGCAGCTTTATGACTTTCAAGGTGGAGCTGTTTCTGCCCCCTCGGGCAGAGGCGTAATCAGCCTGGAAGGCCAGTCCCGCCCCCTCTGCTCCCAGGGGTCTTATCTGACTTCTCTCCCCACCGCAGCCCACCCCGCGGCTGTGCAGTATTTATGGAGGGCCAGGCACCAGTCCCCTTCCATCTCCTTCCATCTAAATCACCTGCACGTTCAGGGGACTAATTCATGGCTCCTGCTGCATTCGGCTTGTCAGCTCTGGGCTTTGCAGAGGAGGTGGTGGAATCGCTCTGGACTCTGCAACTGGTGGTGCAGTGGGTGGGGCCCGCGGGACCCTCACCAACCTCCCCCTGCCGACACACACACACCAGAGCCCATGCTGGACAGGGCACCTCTGCGACGTGACGGGGCCGGCAAGCGGCTTGGCTTGTGAGACTGGCCGGGAGTCAGAGGTGTAGGAAGTTAAGGCTGGCGCAAATCTGGAAGTCACCAGAGGGTGACGAAGTGCTGCTGACAGTAGCTGATCAAAACGCCATCAGAAATGCAGAGAGCCCAGTCCTGAGTGAAGACAGGGCGGCTGGTTGAGGCAGCGCTATTTCTCGGTTTGGGGGCTGAGGCCCCTTTGAAGGTTGAGGTCCAGGGACTCTAGAATTGGCACCCTTGATGGCAGAAGTTCCTGGGCTCAGGAGCCATGCCCTCCTAACCCCAGCTCCCCATCTTTGTCCCCATAGCTCTGCTGCTGCTGCTGCTGCTGCTAAGTCGCTTCAGTCGTCCACTAGATTCCCATAACTTTTAGGAAATGGACATGAGCCTATTTAGCAGCAGCAAGGAGGTAGAGAAGACTTAGAAATCGAAGTGCTTCAGTCGTGTCCAGCTCTGTGCGACCCCATAGACGGCAGCCCACCAGGGTCCTCCGTCCCTGGGATTCTCCAGGCAAGAACACTGGAGTGGGTCCCCATAGCTCTAGGATGGCCTTAATGGGACAGCAGTGTTGGTGTTTATTTTCTTGTCCACTAGATTCCCAGAACTTTTAGGAAATGGACATGAGCCTATTTAGGTTTTAGTTCTCCTGCTACCTGGTAGGAGCTCAGGAGAGGTTTATGAAATTGAAATACCCATGGATGCCCTCTGACTGCCTCTTCCCAGCCCCAAAAGTAAGGCTGTGTGATGAGATTTTCCCTCAGAACAGAGAAGATCACCACACACTCGATTAAGAAGCTACTGTTATTTGAAGCCTAAAAATAGATCTAGACAGATGAGAGGATGGACAGTGTCAGAAACCCACGGGCATTTCTGAGATGAATTGTGGGGACGTGATGGACCAGAAGGTGACCCACCGACCACTGTGCTGTTGGTGATCCAGGGCACGCTTGTCCAGGGCGGCTCAGGGGTCCTGAGTGAGCAGCGGGTGGGGCTTGGAGTGATCCACGGGATCCCTAGTGCCTCGGGGGACACGGAAGCCAGGGGCGGCCTGCCCCGAAAGGAGTGTGTGGCCTTTGGACCTCGTGCTTCCCAGGTGTCAGCCAGCCAGGCTGCAGATCCGCACTTTGTGAGAGCCGCAAGCCGTCAGCCCGCCATGTATGTGTGCGTGCCTGTGTATGTAGGTATGTGCTGTGTGTGTAAGTGTGTGTGTGTGTGAACATGCGTGTTCTTTCTTCCCGCCTCCTCGCCATCCCGGTCACCCAGCTCTGGGCAAAGCCTCCATTTAAGTGCAGCACCAGATAGCAACATAGAGCATTCTGGGGGTGTCTGCCCACTGCTCCCCTTTCGGCCTCTGTCGGGACCTCTCCAGAAATGCTCCTCTGTCCCTCACCAGAGCCAGAGGCCCTGTTTGGGGGGCTCCCAGCTGACCCCCGACTGCTCCCCAGGCACCGTCACGGCCTTCACCTCTCTAGGCCTCACCCACGGGGCTGGAGAACAGAGCCCTCACGTCTGCAGGCTGCCTTTTAAAACAAAACACCCGAACAGGGAAACTACATCCCCACCCCCCAACCCCCCCAATCCCCGCCGCCACCCCCCAATTCAGTCTAGTGGTGTCAGACTCTGATGTGTTGAAAGGCAGCTCAGAGAGAACGGGGGTGGGGAGAACAGCATCTCAGGGAGATAATTGACTTCAGAAAAGCTATGTCTGAGATGTAGGAAGAAAACAAGTGAAAATATGTTATTTTACAACCTTGATACTCCTGACCTCATTGAAAATAAATATACACATGCTGTATGGGCGATCAGGTAGGGAAGTACCCTAGCACAGGGTACTGGCGCCCTCTTGTGGTCAAATGGAGTACTGCCACACCACATTCCGCATTCGGTTTCCCGTAGAAGCCGGTGTATTGCAGGGGTTGCTTGGGCCCTGCTTGAATTAGAGCCAGAAAGTGATCCTAATTGAAAAAATGAGCCATTTCTAAAAGCCTCCCTTCTCCAGACAAGACATCTGGTCACTCCTGGGCTGGCTGGCATGCTCCCAGAGAAGAGGAAGCTATCATAGGAATGCAAGTCCTTTCAGAGCTTACGGTCTTTTGTGACTTAAATTAACATCTCCATGTCTTTTGTGGGTCTGAGTCTCATCACCTGCACAATGACAAACTGGAAATGGACGGTGCTTCTGGTCCCTTCCAGCGGGACAGCCCGTCGGGCCTCAGCAGTCCGTGAGAGAGGCGGAGGCCTCAGAGAGCTGGTGAATCACTGATCAGTCTGGGGGTGCTGGGACTCTTTGCATGGGGTTGCTTCATTGCATTAAGCTCATTCGCTGCTATTATGACAGGCTTTCTCTATTGCTGATGAATCCGGTGTTAGCTCAGTGTAACAGAACCAGACCTATTGTTCCCCCGTCTGCAAGAACGTCCCCATTGTCATTCCCAGGCTGACTGCCAGTCTCTGACTTGTGAAGTTGTCTCTGAAAGTGGTGAGCGAGGGAACCTTCCCAGGGGCTGTGATCATCAGACACCTAAGCTCACTCCCGCCGCAGACCTGCACCCAAGAATGCTGGTGGGCGGATGGCACCCTGAGCTCTGAATGCAGGGCACGGTTGACAGGATTTGCTCTTATGTTTTTTCCTTTCATCGGCATCTTAATACAGTTCACTCACTTACTGCATGAAAAGAAAGCTCCCCAGTATGGACTGTGTTGAAAAAGTTACCATTCTCTGCATTCACTCTTTCTGTAGCAAGAATCTCTCTCTCTCTTATTTTTTTAGATACAAGACTTAAGCTTAACTAATCTTTTTTAAAAACTTTTTATTGCAAGGTATTTGCTTTACGATTCTGTCTGGTTTCTGCCATACATAAACATGAATCAGCCACAGGTATACACATGTCCCCTCCCTCTCGAACCTTCCTCCCATCTCCCACCCCATCCCACCCCTCTAGGTTTTCGCAGAGCACCACCCGTGCTCACAGCAAATTCCTCCTGGCTATCTGTTTTACATATGGTAAGTATATATCCCCATGCTACTTTCTCAATTCATCCCACCTTCTCCTTCTCATACCGTGTCTGCATCTCCATTGCTGCCCCGCGAACAGGTTTATCAGTACCATCTTGAAAATGTTTAGCCCTGTAAGCTGAGCAAACATCAACCCTCACCCCCAACCCTCACCTCCTGGTCGCCAAGGGGACCATCTCACACAGACTTCAGTTCTTGTATAAGATGAACAGAGTCGTTCATCTTTTCTGTTTAAGCCCTTGGGAGATTTCGGTTTGGCAAGACAGTAGTTTCAGGAAGCTACACTGTTTTATTAAGTGTATTAAACAGCACAGAAGCTCATCTGTTTGGCCACAGTTTGTCTACTGGTTGTCTTGGCTTTTTCCCAATATATCATGGGTTGTTTTCCCAACACATTTTAAAATTCTTATTACTGACTATGATGTGCTTTCGTTGATGTTATTATCATAATTAATTTGCTTCTTACATAGCTGAAAACACAGAGTGGTCATTTGCCAAATTTGCATCATTTATAAAGTTTCCAGAATGGTGGCCACATCCATTAACAGCTGGTACTTGGTGGGTGCCTACTAAGCGCCACGTGCATTCTAAGTCACTTCAGTTGTGTCTGACGCTTTGCGATCCTATGAACTATAGCCTGCCATCTGTCCAGGAGACCCTCCAGGCAAAATACTGTAGTGGTTGCCATGCCCTTCTCCAGGGGACCTTCCCCACTCAGGGATTGAACCCATGTCTCTTCCATCCCCTGCATTGGCAAGTGGGTTCTTTATCACCAGCACCACCTGGAAAGCCCACATAGCTTTGCATTTATTTTCTTCAATTTTTCATCACAGCCCTGGAAGGGAGATCATTTTATCTCAGCATCCCAGGGGAGGACACTGAAGCCCCAGGAGGTTGAGTGGCTTTCTCAGTTCTCACAGCTACCGAATCCTGGAGGAGATAAAGCCCACACCCAGTTCTAGCCCCAAAGCCCAAGCATTGCTCACCATCACCCTCCACCCACAGTCCCACGTCCGCTGACATCCCACTGGGGACCTGATGCAGGAGCAGGTCCACCAGTCAGCAGATAGGCCGTGGCTTCATGTGGCCTCTCCTGTGGAGGTGACTCAGAGTTTGACTGAAGTGTTTTCAGTCCGAGCACCCTCCCAGGAAAGGCCCTGCTCTGGGAGGGGGAAGCTCAGACCTTGGCCTGGCTCCTGATGAGCCGGAATCTGGACCCAGACACGCAATCTGCAAGGGTTTTGATTGCTCTACTATTTTGTGCTGGGGTGGTTTGATTCCTAGGCGCTTATCGAGCTGGTTTGTATCACTCAGTCTGGGGACACTGACATGGCCAACGTTTGTAACAAGAGCCTCGGGCTCGAGCCCCTTTCTATTCTGGGGAATTTGAGGTTTTGCTCCCTTTTTTCTTTTTTTGCAGGCAGGGTTCTTTAGCTGTGGCATGCGGTCCTGGCTGCCCTGTGACCTGTGGGACCTTAGTTCCCTGACCTGGGATCAAACCGGCATCTCCTGTATTAGAAGGACTAGACCACCAGGGAGGTCCCCAGAATTTGAGTTTTGACAGGAGACTCTGGGAAGGCTATGAGGTCCATGTTGGCCCTAAAATATGCAAAACTTGGGAGAGGAACTGAAATGCTGAGAACACACTGCTATTTTCAAATACTCTGGGATGAGCTGTTCTCTATATGAGCACATCCAGTACAGCCAAGACCAATGGTTCACGTGATGGGAAGCATTAGCTCGATATAAAATAAACGTAAAGGGCAGAGGTGCCCACAGAGGTGAAGGACTGCCTTGGAGTTCTCCCAGCACTGGATGTGCATGGGTGTGAACATGCATTTACACACTCATGCATGCATGGGAAAGGGCAAGCGGATCTGATCAAATGACCTTCACGACTCTATGATGCAGAACTACAGAATGATCTCTATAACTAAATTTGATGGGCCTTCAGGCAGCACGCTGGTTATCAGAGACATATGTTTGCTTGAGATATCTGTTCATTGCACATTTTTTTTAGAGTTTCGAACCTTTACAAAAGTGACATGAATAGCATACGAGCACCTCTCACCCACATTGGCTCTGCAGCTTCTTGGAACCACGCGTTCTCTTACGTAATCACAAAGGAGTGATCAAGTTCAGGAAATTTACGTAGATACCAGCTGCGTCCACTGTCAGCTCACACACAGTCTGTCTCACAGTCTTTTCTCGAACACAAGGTCCCTACCGCTGACCGTCCATGTAGCTGGAAGCATCCTCACATCTCCTTAGTTTCCATCCATCCTGACACTGACGTTCTTGGAGACGACAGATGGACTGGTAGTACCTGGTGCTTTTCAAACGTTGCTCAGATGTCCAGCAGACAGCTCTGTGTCTGGCGCACCGCACCTCGTCAGGGTCAGCAGGACAGAGGGCTACCTGTGTGCTGGTGGGCCAGGGCCCAGGCCATTCCGGCTGGCAGGGGAGGGACCGGCAAGGCGTGAATTCTGAGCTTGTGCCCGTCCCCCGCCTCCTGAGACCCGTGGCTTCCTCACCTCGCGGCAGTCATGAGAATTAAGTGGCATATTGTAGGTAAAAGTGCTTAGCAAACTATAGCAAAGAGCTAGACCTATGCGATACATTGTAATTTGTTATTAATACACCAGCAAGGCAGCCTGAAGCCAGAATCAGAGGGGGAAATTGAAAAGTCGGTAAAATACTGGGTTGAAAACAAGAGCGGGCTGCCCGGGTGGGGCTGCTGGCCCGGTGGCTAGACCGAGCGTCTCCGGCCTGTCCTGGGACCAGCGGTGCCTCTGCTCAGCTCGACCTTCTGAGGCTGGGGCACAAGAGCTGCCCGTGCGGACTGAGCCTTCACCAAGGGCCAAGCCCTTTGCGGAGGGAGGCCCGGATGTAACGGAGAGTGGGTCCGGCTGCTTGCCGCTCAAAAAACCCATAAGGGGCGGGGTTGGTGGAAAGAAAGCTTGCTTTATTTTGGGAGCCAGCACCTGGGATGGAGAGAGTGGACTCCTGTCCAAAGGCCGACTCCCCTCACTGATGGTAGGCAAGAGCTTGTATAGATGGAGGGAGGGGGCTACTTGCAGAAACAGCACAGTCAACTCTGACAGTCATCTTGAAATTGGTCATCAGCAGTCTGATCAGTGTCCTCATGATGGTTTTAGGGACAGTTTATCTTCAGTTCTAGGATCAGTTTGTTTCCATTTCTTGAGGCCAGTTCTCAGAATTGTGGCAGCTTCTGTCAAGGCTACAGTCCGGTCACCATGTAGTTAAATTCTCCACCTGGTGGGGGTTTAGTATCTGAAGACAACTCACAGGATATGGCCCAGAATATTATCTATAGCCCTGGAGAAGGAACTAAAGGTCCTTGATTGTGCCTAATGAGTAAACTATCATCATTTGATTTCCTTTGACTGTTTTCCTTTGCTTTTGCAAGTTCTCACTTCTCTGATTAAACTTATTTTTTGGCTAAAATCTTTCCACAGACAAAAGGCAGGCTGAGGACCTGGGGGACAAGGACCCTAGGGACCTGCTCCATTTCACCCATGCTCATGAGAACCCCGAAAGGTCTTAGGATCCTTCATTAAAATGCAGAGCTTCAGAGGTGATGTTATTCACTCAAAGTCACACTGTCAGGAAGTGCACTTCCAACCCCTCCTGCAGCACAGACACACACACACACACACTCGTATGTACATGTGTATGCATAGTGAGTGCGTGCTCGGGGCATGTCTGACTCTTTTGTGACCCACAGACTGTAGCTCTCCAGGCTCCTCTGTCCATGGGGTTTCCCAGGCAAGAATTCCCAGGAGTGGGTGGTCATTTCCTCCTCCGGGGGTTCGTCCCTACCCAGGGATCCAGCCTGCGTCTCCTGTGTCTCCTGCGTTGCAGGAGGATTTTTTTTACTGCTTGAACCATCAGGGAAGCTCATATGTGTGCATGTGTGTGTGTGTGTGTGCACGCGCACGTGTGTGTGTTTCCCCTCCATGGATACTGCAGCTGGAGCATTGAGGTCAATGACCTCGATGGATGAGCTCATATCCCCCCATCTCAGGTGACATCTCTTGGGGAGACCACTCCCAGGGCTGGAGGGCTGGAGGGCTGGAGGCGAACCTCCACACCAGGAATCCCCTCTTACCGGCCTCAGCGTCTGCATCAAGGCTGAGACACCTGCAGGCTACGAGGACCACCGTGCTGAATTCTGACTCCATCTGCAGCTTTCTGATCTCGAGTCCCTTGTCAGCTACTGAGAAATGGATGCATGACTGCTGGCCGGCCATACGTCTGGGCAGCCTGTTTTCTCACCTGGAAACGGGGTGATGCCCATCATAAGGGTTGTTGTGAATACTGATCTGAGAGTCCGTCACTGCAGAACCGCCGCTGCAGTTCAAGGCACCGTGAGCCCGCCTCTGGGGACACCCTGCAGGGCCCGTGGAGGACCGGGTCCCCGTTCCTCCTCCGTGTGCGCTTGTCTTCCTAACTCCACAGAGGCCGGGCGCTCAGGGAGCCGAGGTTGGCTGTGGTCCCTTCTCCCCACCTCAGCCCCCGCCTCGGCTCCGTGCGGTTTGAACGCATCTGCAGAGTCAGAGCCGGACACCCTGTCCTCGGCCTCGGTGAGCAGGGCTGCGCCCTCTGGTGGCGGCTGGCGGCGCTGCAGGCCCTCAGCACCGCGGGGCGAGGAGCGAGGACCCGCCCCTCACTTCCTCTCCGGGCTCCAGTGCTGGGAAGGGTCCTTCCTTCTCACGCCAGTCTCTGGTCTCTGGTCTCTACGCGAGAAAGCTACCCAGTTCAGCTGGATCTGAAACTGGCTCCCCCCACACATCAGGGAAGTTCCCTCTGGACTCTGCGCTCACCTCCTCTCGGGGTTCGGGTCCCTCTAGGCGGCCCAGAAGGAGGTGGACTTGGCATCCCCACACTGTGCGTGAGGGCGTGTCTGGGCGCGTGGCTCCTGTGCGTGTTACCTGCCAGCCAGGCCTGCCCGTGCAGAGAACACGATTGAAAGGCCTGTGAGTGTCAGAGACAGGACAGCACCTTCCCCCAAGCCTCTCACATGCTCAGTGCACACACACGGACACCCACACAAGGATACACAGACAGGGGACCCCTGGAGCCAGAGAGAGCTGTCTCTCTCTGTGGGATGTTGGGACAAGGAGTTGGCCAGTTGCATCAACACCTCCATCACGCCCTCCCTCTCTCTGCACCCGGCACTGGCTCCACCCACTCTCCCAGTGGTCACAGAGGGTCACTCTCAGTGGGCAACTGGTGATGACAGAGATCACAGGACCATAGCCTGAGCCTGCTCACCCCCTACAAACTGTGGGGAGGTGGTTGGCTCTCCTGCACTTCCAGGGCAAATGAAGCATGGATTTGGGGCCCTGCACAGAAAACCTTCTCTCAACAGCCTTGGAGTGGTCGGCAGCATCTTCCTCATCACACCCTCTCCTGCCCTGGGCTGCAGCTTACAGGGTGCTGAGAGAGGGCAGGGAGTGGGCACAGCCTCCCCTCGGGGCTTGGTACCTGCCAGTCTCCTGTCCTCTGGCTGGGATACGGGCTTTCTTTACACTGAGGGGTTGCTTAGCTTGGGGTATGAAGCTGGGCCTCTGGGCTCATCCCAGGCTGTGGTCTGCGGCCTGCCCACCGAGGTCTCTTGGCCCTGCCTCCCATGTCCCATCCCCTATCCCCCGTGGAACCTCTTTGTCCCAACATCCCACCTTCCTAGAGACTAGGGAGATGTCGGGAGGCAGTGGTTTGAATCCAGCCCAGGTGATGATCTGGGGGAGATCACATTCCTCTGGGACGTGGCAGCCCCCGAGAGGAGAGGAGGAGAGAAAGAGGTGGGAAGAGGGGCAGGGCCTGGTGTGAGAAAAATCTAGAAGGAGCCCCAGAGGGTTGCCATGCTGCTCCGAGGGAGGACCGCAAGCGAGCTGATGTCTGCGGGAACGCCGGGCCTCCCTGTCCGTCACCAACTCCCGGAGCCTACTCAAACTCATGTCTGTGGAGTCGGTGATGCCATCCAACCATCTCATCCTCTGTCATCCCCTTCTCCTCCCGCCTTCAATCTTTCCCAGCATCGGGGTGTTTTCAAATGAGTCATTTCTTCGTATCAGGTGGCCAAAGCATTGGAGTTTCAGCTTCAAGATCAGTCCTTCTAATGAATATTCAGGACTGACTTCCTTTAGGATGGACTGGTTGGATCTCCTTGTAGTCCAAGGGACTCTCAAAACTCTTCTCCAGCACCACCATTCAAAAGCATCAATTCTTTGGTGCTCAGCTTTCTTTATAGTTCAACTTTATAGTCTAATTTTATATGTAGTAGCGTGTATTTGTCAAACCCAGTCTTCCAACTTCCAATTTATCCCTCGCCCCTTACCCCCCTTGGTTAACCATAAGCTTGTTTTCTATATTTGTGATTCTATTTCTGTTCATTTGTACCTTTTTTAAGATTTCACATAGAGGGGATATCATATGATCATTCTCTCTGTCTGACTAACTTCATTCAGTATGACAATTTCTAGGTCCATCCATGTGGCTGCAAATGCATTAATCCATTCTTTTTCCTGGCTGAGTAATATTCCATCACATACAGGTGCCATATCATCTGTATCCATTCCTCCATCGATGGACACTTCGGTTGCGTTCATATCTTGGCTATTGTACCTAGTGCTGCCATGATCACTGGGGTGCACTTGTCTTTTAAAGTTATGGTTTTCTCTGGATCTATGCCCAGGAATGGGACTGTAGGATTATATGCTAGTTTTATTTTTAGTTTGTTAAGGAACCTCCATGCTGTTCTCCACAGTGGCTGCACCAGTTTACATTCCCACCATCAGTGCTCCGGAAGGGTCCCCTTTTCTCCATACCCTCTTCCTTTTAATCTGTGTAGTGTCAGTCTCTCTACTAGAATTAACGTTCCAAATGCTCAGAGGCACTTCCCTGTCTCCATCCACAGTGTCTAAAACATTGGCAGAAAAGGGCGCTTAAAAAATAAATTTGGGGAATTGAATCACAGTAACAGGGACTTCTCCGACTCTGAGACGACCTTAAGCTACATGAGAAGTGCTCCACTCTACACGGAATGTTTCCAAGTCTAGACTTGGCCCCGCCCCCGGGATGTATCTTCACAAAGGGGGGGGGGGATGAAGAACAGGTAAGGTGTTGAGTAACTGGGGGACCAGGAGAGCCCCCAGTGGGGAGGAGCCACAGGGCCACACAGGGGCCTGGGAGCCTGGGCTTCGAGCAGGTCAGCTCCGGGCCCCGCCCCCGGCTCATCTTCCCATCAGGGATTATGCAGTTCAGAGACACCTCTCTGGGCCTCTAAAGGCTGGGCCCCACGCAGACGCCAGAGTGAGGCTGGCCCAGAGACACCGATGAGAATGGGCTAATTTCCTTTGCTTTCCTTTGATGTCTTCAAAGGTAGAAAATAATTTCTGTGCTTTTCTGAGAACCACTCAGCTGAAGGCTGGGGTTTGGGGAATGTTCCACCTGGGGGAAATGCTAATTAGAGATAATTACACCCCAGACCTGGCCTGCCGGCTGCCCCTCTGGGAAGCAGCCTGAGCAAAGTGCCCTGGTCGGAGGGGTGCGGGGGGCCTTGGAGCCAGGCCCGCAGGCCGCGTCCTCCAAGGACAGCCCAAGGGCGGCTGCATTTGGAGGCAGCAGGGAATGTGAACGGGGAGCTGGCTCTCAGAGCAGGTGGGGCTCAGCCTCAGCTCACACTGCGTGGTGCCCCCCAACCCCCAAACAACCTCCCTGCCCGCTATCAGGCAGCAAACAACCGAACTAAACAGTGTTCCCGGGAAGCTAAAAAGCTCCATCAAGTGTGAAAAGTATGGAACACAGGAGTGAACATGGACAAATCCATCAGCTGCCAGGAGTTCTGGGGCGCCCAGATCACCTGTATCCCAACTGTGTGAATGCAGGGTTTCTGCCCCTTTCAACTGGGGTCCCAGCAGGGCCCGGCCTGCTCAGTCACTCAGTGACCCTAAGGAGACTGCACGGGGGTGAGAGCGTGCCTCCCGCTGCCACCTGGGGCTTCCAGGGTCCCCACCGGACCACCAGGCTGGTTCCCACCGTGAGGGACCTTCCTGAGCATCCAGCGTGGAATCGCCCTGGACTGTCCACCCTGTCTCCTGGGATGACCAGAGCTGGGTAACCACAGTTCCCTGAATTAATGCACCCCGGTGCCTGTAGACACTGCCAGGCACTGCGGTCTGGGTTGGGCATCGGGGTGGTGGGCACAGAACCCCTCCCCCCAGGGAGCAAAATGACTCCACCCCCTGTCACCAGGGAGAAAGGGACAAGGACTGCAGGGGGGAGGGGCACCGGGCAACCGGGCATCCAGGCCGGCTGGGAACTGGCCCGACCCTCAGGTGGTCCCCAGCGCCCACTGGCCCCGCTGCCCCAGACGCGTCCCCCGGCGCCGAAAGAGCTCCAGCAAGGCAACCAAGTGGATGCATTTTTAAAAGAAAGCTGCTTTACCGAGCAGGTCTCTGCAGCAGTTGCTGGAACAGCCCTCCTCTGGATGGAAATAGTGGTGTAACAGCCTCCCCGGGGCTATTATTGCGCTGACATTGCGGGGGCTCATAAACCCCACCCGGTGCGGCGCGCGCAGCCCGCAGGTCGCACACCTGGATCCGGGATCCTGCAGACGCCCGGCCCGGCGCGCTGCAGCTCCGAGGATGGCCACCGGAGGGCGCGCCCGCGCTCCTCGCGCTCCAGGCAGGCGGACCCCTGAAAGGGGCGCGGAGGGGTCGGGGGCGCTTCGCAGAGCGCTCCGCGGAGGAAGCGCAGTCTGCCCCGCTCTCTAGCCAACCGCTCCCTCGAATGGGTGTCTGAACAAAGGTTTGCAAAGCCAACCGCACAGGTACAACCAGAGGAGGCTGGGTAGACACGTCATTAAACCAGATTCCAGCAGGTAAATGATGGTTTTTAAAGCTCCTGAAAAATCCTTTCAGATCATATCAAAACGATCCTTTCAGGTGGGAAGGTCTGTGAGGTATGCCCAAAACCCCCAAAGCCAGACTGGTCTCAGCTCTTCCACCTCCATCTGCTTCCCCTGGGGAGTCCGTAACCCGGGACCCCTAGGGCACCACCCCATCCGCCCCCTGCTCCCGTGGGCTCCCAGCAGGGACAGAACCTGGACTATGCACCTTGCATCCCCAGGGCCTGGTCACGATGCTGACAACAGGTCATGTTTGAGTTGAAGCTGACACCACTTCTTGTGGGGTGTGGGGATGCTCAGGCCAAAGCCCCCAGCCGCTCCCAGCATACTGAACATCAAATCCTGATCCCATCGTCAGGCCGTGCAACCCCGTGGGGGCTGGGAAAATGCAGCCCCCAGTCTCACAGACCAATGGGCAGACACCCAACCACCCTCTGAGATGGTCTCAGCCTGTCCCAGAGTCCCACGAACCCCAGCCCATCTTAGAGATGTTGCCTTAGGGCTCCTAGGCCACTCTCAAGACCAATGGCACATTTTATTTTCTTGTTTAAGTGTTTAGTTAGTTTTTTAAATTATTTTTTATTGGAGTATAGTTGCTTTACAATGTTCTGTTAGTTTCTGCTATATAGCAAAGTGAATCAGTTATATGTATACATACATCCCCTCTTTTTTTTTTTAATTTCCTTCCCACTTGGGTCACCACAGAGAACTGAATAGAGTTCCCTGTGCTATATAGTATGTCCTCATTACATAGTAGTGTATATATATATATATATGTATATGTATATATATATATATATATGTCAATCTGCTTTAATTTTCCATATGTGTATTCTTAGGAAGGGGCTTCCCAGGTGGCGC